GCAGGGCCAGCATGACAGGCCCAGGGATTGAACCCTCGGCCCCTGCACCTGCTTGCAGGTGCTTTAATCCTCTGAGCTATTTGGCTGGCCCTTCCCAATGCTTTTTTATATGATTATTTCTTTTTAAATTTTTATTCTAATCATTAACACATTAATTGTTTGAGATTCACTGCGTTCCTCCCATGCATGCAGCTGTTGTGCCCTGTCCACATCCATCCACCCTTCTACCCTCCCTCCCTCCAAATCCCTGCCAGACCCTAACAGCATCTCTTCTCTCAGCCCTTTTTTTTTTTAAATTTCCACACATGAGAAAGAACATACGATGCTGGTGTTTCTGGGTCGATTTATTTCACTCTGAACAAGTTCTTCCAGTTTCATCCACTTTCCTGGCAAAACAGTATTTCTTTCTTTATGGCTAATACCCTGGGATTGTGTGTTTGCACGTATATGCAAGCATGCATGTATGTGTATATTTTGTCCTTTATCCATCTGTTTAGAGCCACCTCGGCAGATTCTGTACCTGGGCTACTGTGAGTAGTGCCACAAAGCCTGGGTGTGTGGATATCTCTTTTGTAAGCTGACTCCATTGTCTTTGGGGTGGTATCCTAGTAATGGAATAGTTGGGGTTTGTAGTTCTTTTAGTTTTTTTGAGGCACTTCTATGCTGTGCTCCATCATGGCTCCGGAATTTACATTCCCACTAACCCTGTATAGAGATAACTTTTCCTCCACATCTTTGCCACATGACCCCTGCGTAGATATGCCTTCCCAGGCAGGGCTAATGACTCAGCCCTTTCTCAGGTTTTTTTAGTTTTTTGGGGTTTTTTTTGGTGGCCAGCTCAGCCCACCCTGGGGACAGGGTGGTGTCAGGGATTGAACTGTGTCCCTGCACTTTGCCTAAACTTGCCTAAGCAGGCAATTTAGACTGCTGAGCTATCTTGCCATCTCCCCTTTTTCAGTTTTTATTTTGAGACAAAGTCTTACTAAGTTAAGTTGCCTCGCATGATCCTGCTTAGCCTTTTAGAGTACTGAGATTATAGGCCAAGGCTTGAGATAGGGTTTTGCTGTGATTCCCAGGCTGGTCTAGAATTTGTGTTCCCCTTGGTTCAACCTACCAAATATCTGGGATTAAAGATATGTACAGGCATGCCCAGCACTTACATTTATTTATCTGTCTATCTGTTTGTACTGGGATCTGCACCTTGGGCCTTTATACTGAGCTGTATCCCCAGCGCTTTTTCCATTTTTTATTTTGAGACAGGGTCTACCTAGCATGCCATATTGTCCAGGCTGGGCATGAACTTGTGATCCTCCTGCAGCAGCCTTCCAAAGTGTTGGAATTATGGCCGTGTACCACCATGCTTGAATAGATTTTTGTACAGGTTACGAGTTGAGTTTCCACGAACTCATGTAGATTCCCAATTTTCCTATTACCATTTGCCTGTTCTTCGGTGTATATTTTTTGCATCTGTTTCAAGAATCAATTGACTCAAGACGTATAAAATTTATTTCTGGGTCTCCTATTCCATTGGTCTGTGTGTTTCTTTTTATGCCAATATTGTGTGTTCTGTTTGGATTTTTAAATAAGACAATAGTTTACCAGGAAATCAATTTTCTTCTTTTTACTCAAACTTTCTTTGGCTGTCTGGGATTTTTTGTGTTTCAATATGAAGTTTAGGATTATTTCTTTTTAGTTCTGTTAAATCAAAGTTCGATGGGGATTGTATTGAGTCTTGAGGTTGCTTTGAGTAGTATGAATATTTCAACAGTGTGACTTCTTCCAATTCATGCATATAGGAGGTCTTCTACATTGGAATTTCTTCAGTGTTTTCTTATTTTTATTGCAGAGTCTTTCACATCCTTAGGTTTGTTGCTAGGAGTTTTTTTTCTTTTTCTTTTCTTTTTTTTTTTTTTATTGGCTGTTATGAATGGGATCATACTTTCCTAATTTCTCTCCCAGCAGACACACTGTTGAGGTATGGAAAAGCTAGTGATATATGTTGATTTTGTTTCCTTCTGCTTTACTGAGTTCATAATAGTCTTTTGGTGGAATCTTTAGGGTTTTTTCATGGATACAATCTTACCTGCAAATACTGTAGAGATATTTGGTCTTATCCAGTGTATGATCTTTTCAGTCTGCTACTGGATGTGATTTGTGAGTATTCTGTTGAGTATTTTTTGATCTGTGTTCATCAAGGATATTGATCTATAGCAGTGATTGCAAAGCTTTTAAAGCTTTCAATGATACACACAGCCTGCTACAGCGTGGGAGTCATAGGTTTTCCGCCACTGGTCTATAATTTCATTTTTGATTTTGTGCTTGTCTGGTTGTGATAACAAAGCAGTGCTGGCTTCATAGAGATTGGAAGCGTTTTCTGGAATAGTTTGAGAAGCATTAATGTTAGTTGTTCTAATTCTTCTTTGACTATTGGTAAAATTTAGCAACATAGCTGTCATATCCTGGGCTTTCCTTTGTTGCTACACTTTTTATTACTTATTCAATCTCATTATTTGTTATTGATCTATTTATCTTTAAAAAATATTTTTGGTATATTGTAAATTTTTTGCTTTTTTTGGTAGGTAATATGTATCTGGATATTTGTACACTTCTTGGAATTTTTCCAAATTTATTAGTACATATTTTTTTTCTTTTTTAAATGTATTTAGGGCGAGGGAGATAGCTCACTAGAATAAGCACTTGCCTGACAAGTGTAATGGCCTGAGTTCAATCCCCGGTTCCACCCAAAAAATAAATAAATAATAAATGTATTTAGTACAGGGTCTTCAGGGTCTCGTTGTGTAGCTTGGACTCGTAGTGATCCTCCTGTTTTCAGCCCCCCCAGCACTGGGCTTACAGGCACACACCACCCCACCCAGTCTCAGTCACCTTCTCAGCACACCCCATGGGCGGGGCCAGCATAGAACTCTGTGGGTCAAACCCGGGTCCCTGCACCAGGGGCTTTAGTCTGCTGAGCTTTCTGGCCAGCCCTTCATATTCTTTCAAAATATTCTCCAATGACCTTTTGAATTATGATGTCTCTTCTTTTTTTGTATTTTAGGGAAGGGTCTACAGGGTGTTCAGGGTCTCACTACTAGATCAGACTTGTAGTGATTCTCCTGTTTACAGCCTCCCAAATGCTGGGATTACAGGCATGTGCCACCACACCCAATCTCATTTGCCATCTCATCTTGTCGGGGGGCAAGGCTGGCACAGCGGCCCCAGGAACGAACCCCCAGCTCCTGCACCTGCTTGCAAGAACTTTAATCACCTGAGCTATTTGGCCGGCCCTTGTAATGTCTCCTTTTTTCATCTCTAACATTATATATTTGGATTCTCTGTCATTTTTCTTTTGCTCTCATTGTTTAGCTACTAAATGCTTGTCAGTCATGTTTCACTTTGCAAAGAACCAATTTTTTTAAAAAATAAGTTTATTGGTACAATTTAGATATACACAATAATCACATTCATTATAGGGAATTTATACCTGTATGTGATGTATCCTGGTTCCTCTTTTTTTCCCCAATCCCTTCCCCTTCCTTTAACCCTCTTTCTCTCATTTACATAGCTTTATTTCCATTCTATCCTTTTTTATTTATTTTTATTTATTTATTTATTTTTGGCAGAACCAGGGATTGAACTCAGGCCCTTGCACTTGCCAGGGAAGCGCTTATTCCACTGAGCCATCTCCCTGGCCCCTCTGTCCTTTTTTAAAATTAAGTTTATTGAAAAACAAAAAGCAATGAGACAGTTTCAAAACAGGTTAGTAGGACAGTTACAATAATTAATATATTGCATATTGTTGTCTTCGTAGTAGTTATTCATAATATAAGATGCAGACATGATATCCTGTCCAAACACTTTTATTACAAAACTTTCTTCTCATTGAATTAAGAGAAAGTAACTGTATATATATCCTAAAATTCTTTGTTTCTTTGACCCTTTATATTATTGTTTTAGCCTATTACATTAATTTTTATTTTTTTCTACTTATTTTGGCATTGGCTTGTTCTTGTTTTTCCTGACTTTAAGATACATCATTAGGCTAGACATGGTGATACACTCCTGCAGTCCCAGCATTGGAGAGGGTGAGGCAGGAAGATCACTATGAGGTGAGTTTGAGGCCAGCCTGGACACCATAGTAAGTTCAAAGCCAGCCTAAGCTACATAGCAAGACCCTTCTCAAAAAAGAAAAAAGTTTACTTAAGGTCTCTCTTTTTTTTAATATATGTACCATTGTTATAAACTTCTTTCTTAAAACTGTTTCTGCTGTATCCCACAGCTTTTGATACATTGTGTTTACATTTTTGCTTGATTTGAGGAATTTTTAAGTTTTCCCTTTGACTTCTTTCAATGACCCATTGTTTATTCAAAAGTGTTTGAATATGTTTGTATAATTTCTATAGTTTTTCTTCTTGACTTATAGTTATACTACTACTACTTCTTTTTCTCTTTCTCGTTCTCCTTCTTTTTCTTTCTTTTTTTTTTTTTTTGTCTTTCTTGAGACAGGATCTCACTATGCAGTTCAGGCTGGCCTTGAGCTCACTTTGTAGCCCAGGCTAGTCTTAAACTTGCAACAGTCCTCCTGCCTCAGCCTCCTGAATGCTGGGATTGTAGGCATGGGCTACCATGTCCTGCTACTTCATTGTTTT